TGCGAACCTCATCTTTTGGGAAAACTGCTAGAATCCACAACATGTTTAGCAGCACAGCCAGGTCTACCTCTGGTGAGAGATTTATCTGTACTTCTCAAGTGCCTCAGTAAAGAAACTTCAATTAACCAAAGTAGTTATCCAACATAAGTAACCTTGGTGAGTGAAAAATTGGATATTGGGAGTTGAAGTTATTTAACCATCCAGGATATGCCACCTTGAGTTGTGACAAGACAGTTGTGCACACATGCAGATGTACTTCTTTACAAGGGTTAAACCTGTACATTTTACCCTTCGTGGGTTGGGAAACAATTTAAGTTATGGAAGCCAATCTGAGGAAGTGGGTGCCTTTGGCCCTGTTTGGCAAGTGGACGGGTGCGCTTAGTGTACCCCACCTCGCAGCATGCTATTCCTCTGGGACCAGCTGAGGGACAGTTAACCTAGGGACCTGGCCTGTATAGTCACAGGAACAAGGCCTTGCATCAGTTCTAAGTGGTGACTTCCTGTAAAGTAAATTGTGAGCTGAATTCTGAACAAACCTATTGTAGGGAATGAAGTTGTGTCTTGGGAGACACTAGTGACTTGTGAGGTATGGGGCATGTTCTGCAACCCCATCTTGTAATGTTTCACTTTAGAAGAGAATACAACGTGTTGGTTCCAGCTGTGAAGGGGGTCAAACACATGGGAACCAATGTGTAAATACTAAATGGCTTGTGGTTTCTAACCTGCCCTCTAGAGGTAGACAGTGGGCCTCACCCACACTACTGCATAGCATGCCCAGAAATAACTGCTGAATCTGACACCCATATTCCTTGTGCTCTACACAGGACCCTCAATCTCCAGTTAAATTGGAAACTGTTACAACTTGACAGTTGCCACGACATTGAATTTGAGGTACAGGAGATTAAGGCAAGTTATTACATTTCAATAGTGCCTCTACGCAAGCACTACAGACCACCATTAAAATTTTTAACCAAATAGTCACAATGTTTTCTTCATTTAAACTTGACACTATTTGAACTGGCTACATATGAGACATACAGGTGTTAGACAAATTGAAACAGGATTTTCAGGTGTGAAAGTGATGACATGTTTCTCATTGAAAGTATGATTGATGTAACTTTGTTCCTGCTGTGTGAGGACACCCCCAGCTAGTGGGTGGGAAGCCTCACTTTCACCATTCACTGCGTGCGCTGCTAGTAATACGGAGTAGTGTCAGAGCTTACTGAGCTTCAAAAAGAGCAAATTGTTAATGCCGGCTTAGCTGGTGCCTCTGATGTTACCAGTTTTTGCCTGGTCATGAAGTGCAGTATCAAAAGGTTATGACAACATACAGTTTCTGGGAAGTCAGATAAGCACAAGTGCAATTGACATTGTCAAGTGACTGAAAGACAAAGGACATTGCACAGGATTGTGAACATGAAGAAAAAGCCTATGAAAAAGGTATCAGGGACATCTCATGAGGCCCCCTAATTACCTCGGGCAGTGCCCACGTGGCTAAATGGTCAGTCCGCCCCTGGTCCAGTTTTATCCAGTTCTTACTTTAGAAAAGTTATAAGCTTCCTGTAGTGCCCTGTACAGGATATAAAACTGGGCTGAGATTTTTTGCACTGCATTTACAGTGCTGTCAGTCTTTCACTCAGTGTAAGTACGCCTTGTCCAATAAGCAGACTTTAGGTTAGATTTAAAATTTTGAAGCGGTTACAGGATCTGGTTGTAAGTGTACTTTGACATGACACAGACTCACTATTGCATGCCAAAATGCATGGTGTGTGTAGTGGTGCCTTGTGGTGCAATGTCCTCCACTGTTGAGTGCATTGGGGTGCTAGTCAGTTAACTGCACCACAGTAGAATTGTGTTCACTCATTACTGCATAGTTTTGAATGGGCCACATGGACAAATGCAGTTTGCCTTCATATGAATTCCACTTGCATTTAAGATAATTTTAAGACCTATGTGCATTTGACCTCATTGACCTGCATCTCCAAGCTGTATCAATCTGCTTTAAGCAGTTTTTGCATCTCCATTAACTTGTATTGCGCGAAGCAGTTCTAATGCACACAAAAGCCCCTGGTACACAGGCCTTTAATCCTCCTTGCCAATACAAGCTGATGCAATGCCAATGCTGGGACCATGAACCTTAGCCATCCCCTTGCTCGACTTGAAAATGAACCTCCAGTGACATTGAGCAATGTCTCAGCTTGTTCCTGAGGCATTGCTCAATGTCACTGGAGGTTCATTTTCAAGTCGAGCAAGGGGATGGCTAAGGTTCATGGTTCCCATCTTTATAACTTGTCATGATACTTTTTCTATCATGACAGAAGTTATAAAGATGGGAGGGCGACATTTGCAATAGAGGCTATGGATTAATTTACTAAACCCAAAATCTGGAGAAGTTATGCATGGTAGCACATCAGCTACCAACTTTGGCTTGTTCAGTTAGGTTTTGACAATAGAACCTGGAAGCAGATTTTGTACTTCCCAGTTTAATTTATTAAGAGGTGCTACATTGCCTTTAATTTGGTCTCAGAATTTATGCTTTAAACAGTCCAGTGACTAACCTGCTTTGCAAAAAAAGGACCCTCAAACAAATTTCTGGCAGAGGGGCTTGATCACAAGAATGAACAAAATTTAAAATACTTTGTAACGTAAAACTGTACACTGTATTTTGATAGGTGAATTACTTTAAACACCGCTTTAATAAAAAAAACGAAAACACACACACACACACACACACACACACACACACACACACACACACACACACACACACACACACACACACACACACACACTGCAGTTGCCTGGTGAACCAAGAACTCACTCCTCATTGGCCTACCTCATCGCAGGCTATTCCCTCTTCAGTTTATCATGAATGCTGCTGCCAGACTCATCCACCTTACTAACCGTTCCATATCTGCCACCCCTCTCTGTCAATCCCTCCACTGGCTTCCCCATAGCCCAATAAAATTAAAACACATTAACAAAAGCCATTTATAACGCTGCCCCAAATTACATCAATCTGGTCTCCAAATATCACCCAAAACTTACTTTCTCCGCTCCTCGCACGACCTCCTGCTCTCTAGCTCCCTTGTCTCCTCCCATGCTAGGATCCAGGACTTCTCCAGAGCTTCCCCCATCCTCTGGAACTCTCCACCCAGATCACCTACTCTGCTCACTTTTAGGCGATCTCTGAAAAAAAAAACTCTTCAGGGAAGCCTATCCCAGGGGCGGGCTGACCATTTGGAAACTTGGGCACTGCCCGAGGGCCCAGGGCCAGTAGGGGGCCCCATGAGATGCCCCTGGTACCTTTTTCATAGGCTTTTTTGAGTTTGGGCAATGACACAGGGGCCCCATGATCCCCTATTGCCCGGGGGCCCCATGAGTTGTCAGTCCGCCCCTGGCCAATCCTGTACTCTGCTAATAAAGGAATTTTCTATTCCTCCTACCAGTATATCCCCCACAGTCATTACCTTTTGTACCACTAACCCCTCCCTCTTAGATTGTAAGCTCCAAGGAACAGGGCCCTCCTAACCCTCTTATTGAGCTGTATTGTCTCCCGTTATATTGTAAAGCGCTGAGCAAACTGTTGGCGCTATATAAATCCTGTAGAATAAGTATATTTTACCTTTTCATCACTTCCGTCTTTACAGTCTTTGGTACCATCACATTTCCATTCCTTTAGCAAGCATTCACCAGACAGACATTTGAATTCCCCACTTTGACATTGGACATGTTTAGAGATTGTACAGTTCTGTTCATCTGAGTGGTCATCACAATCCTTGTCTCCATCACAGCGCATAGAATAGGAGATACACTGTCCATTAGTACACTGGAACTTGTTACTGCTGCATTCCTTACGTTCTGCAAGTGTAAAGCATTTAAAATTAAGCTTTTGGTAGAGTATGAAGTCAAACTCCTTGCCATGACAAAATGTTGCAAGAAATGAGCATTAGGGAAGTGCCAGGTAGTTCACTAACATTTTTTTAAAGATTAAGCTGTCTATAGCAACAATGGCAGTTAGAGGGTTGAGAAATCATCAACACTTGACAGGGATGCTTCAATGGCCATTTTTTTTTTTAATGTAGTTACCATTATCCTAAAAAAGGGGGGGGGGGGGGGGGAAACCTGTTGCAGTAACAGCATTAGCAGGTTAGGCTTTAGTTAATTTGTAAAGTTCATCTAAATCTACTATACTAAAGTGGTCCTGGGAATCCCCATACAACTGAAAACATGCGATGCCCTACCCAAGTATTGAGGATGTCCTCTGGAAATGAACCTTTTTTAAAATGACAGTATTACAATTACCCCTTTTAAAAAGGCAGTCTAGACAGCAGTTGGAAGTACTGAACCACTCACCTGAGGGCTCAAAAGATAAGCTATCATGCTGATAAGTGTGCCAGCATCATAAAGAGATGAACTTTTTTGGGGGCGACAATGCTCATGTATTCAATTCTAAAAGTCAGGTATTATCAGGTAGCCACATTTAGTCAAAACAATTTTCAAAATATCTGCCAAAGAACTAGTCAATATTTGTAAGATGTACTAACAAAAATATTTAAAAAATTACAAGAGTAGACCCATTTTCAAAAGCAGAAGAATGCCACTACTACAGTGCTCTGAGCACCACAGGTGGGCACACATTCCAAAACCGGAGAAGCCTGACCATTAAAAGCAGTTTTAAAACAGCACCAGGTAATCAATTTCATGCCTAACAATTTTTTTTTCCCAACAGCTGCAAATTAGATGAATAAGATGACACTAGATAGAGGGGGTGTGAGTGGAGACAGCCGGGGACAGTGTTTGCAGGATTACCAAGTGTGGGGAGGAATAAAAAACCAAAACAAAACAAAAAAACCATGCATAAAAAAAGCCTAATGCAGCTCTCACATTTTAGGACTAGTGAGCTGCAATACACTAGCTACTGATTTGAAAAAAAAAAAAAAAAAATAGTTTTGCAAACAGGATTACAATGGTTAGTATCAGGGGTGGACTGACAACTCATGGGGCCCCCGGGCAATAGGGTATCATGGGGCCCGTGTCCTTGCCCAAACTCAAAAAAGCCTATGAAAAAGGTAGCAGGGGCATCTCATGGGGCCCCCTACTGACACCGGGCCCTCAGACAGTGCCCAAGTTTCCAAAATGGTCAGTCCGCCCCTGGTTAGTATACATTCAGATTATTAAAGCAGAGCTCCAGTCTCTTCTGAAAAACTCACGTCAGCAGCCACAAAATCTGAAGCTGCTGACTTAACAGCCACTCACTTGTCCTACAATCCAATGGTGTGTTCACCAGCCATCTTCTCTCAGGTAACTTAAGTGTGGGAACCCGGCTGTGACAGCTTTCCGCTTCACAGCCGGGTGCCCACTGTGCATGGTTAATGGTCCTGTACTCAGGGGAGGTTGGCGGAGGAGAACTTCCAGATTTTTGATCACCTATGTGGTCAGTGCAGAAGTGGGAGAAATCTGGTACCCACTCACAAAAAGGTGCCAATTGTTCATGGGGAGTGGGCGATTCAATCCATAAAGCGGAACTTCTTTTGGGTGGAGCTCCGCTTTATTACATTTAAAAAAGTTTTGCAGCATTCTTAATGTATACCAACAGTACTTTTGAAAGAAAATACTTTTACATGAATGCAATCATAGCATGAAGTATGCTTCAATTGCATGCCATTTAATGAAATCTTTACTGTAATTTAAATTGCATTTTCTTTTAAAAACGTTTCTGAAAAGGTGCCTACTGCCCAGAATCATTAAATGACATGCCATATCCATTTAGTTAAGATGCAACATTCCAACTGCAAATCATTGCTCAATTATATTTACTGTATCCCAGTTTTGGTGCAGTCTAAATCAAACAAGAAAGTGCTTGAGCGCCAACAGAACTCTGATTGGCACAGTTTGGTCAAATAGATTTGGCTTACCACAGCCTTGCTCATCAGCCTCATCAAGGCAGTCTGGTTTACCATCACAGATCCAATTCTGGGGAACACAGCAAGTCCTCGAATAACACTTAACAGCAGAGGCATATGTTGGTCTCCAGCAGTTTTTTTCATCAGATTCATCAGGACACTGTGGCACTCCATCACAACGGTATCTCTTCTCAATACATTTTGTACCATTTGCGCACTGGAAAAAGTCTTCGAGATTGATTTATTATAAGAAAAAAAAAGTGGTGAAGACCCATTAAAAAACAGTTAACCAAAGAGCCTTTATTTTTGTAGTATTCCATTACTTCAAAATCGATAACATATGTAAATAGTCTCTAAAATTATACCAGTTAATGTGTCGCTTTGAAAAGTCATGTTCAATTATTCTGAAGTCTGCAGCTTCTTAAAATACCCAATGATCTGCCATGAAGATCTGTTTAGGTATTTCCAGCTACTAGGGCAACAGTTTGTCCTCACCTTTCAGTTGTGTTCCAGTATTGTCACCCAATCACACAAGGTTATGGCAGAGATGACAAGCTGCTGTTTGAACACACGGTATGCAGGCATGGTCCAATGTTGACACCATTATGAATCCCGCTCTGAAAAATGCTATGCAGCCATTGGGATGAAGTGAACATTCAGAAGCGACTGCAAACCCTCTCAAATTCCATGCACCCATTTGTACGGCAAGGACATATCAAGTGACTGCAAGGTGTCAAATCTGATCTCTACTGGGGTAAGGGTATGGTATGGATTAAGGAGGACCCCACACCTTATACAGGGATAGTACACAATAGGTGTACTGTTCCTTAAACAGGCTGGGGTTCCCTCCCAAAATCTATACTACACGACCCTTATCTAAGCAAGTATCCTAGCTGGCAAAAGAAATTAGAGGCAGGAAGCATGTCACTCACCCTTCCCAAATCTCTGCTACTTGCCCTCAGTCTTGGAAGGGTACTTTGTGCCAGTGAAGGATGTAAAGATGCTTTGCTGACCCCATTGCAAAGGCACCTTGTCCCCATGTTGCTTGGAACAAGGGCCTCATCCCCATCTCTCGGCTAACAGACTAAATGGTCAAGGCCATATTTGGTCAATTACTTCACCTACGTCCCACAGCGCTATGTTTACATTCCAGAAGCACCATGGTTATTTGTGAGGAATAGCTTTATTCATTTTATTATGGCATTGGTACATAACTCCCATGACAGTGCCCAGCTTCCAATGCCTTTAACAGCTTACCCATTATCCCTACAAATAGGCAGAATTTAGCAAGTTTCTTTATCCCCCCTCCCCACATATTTGCAAGATTCGTTTACCAACTGAACCAGGCAGCATCGCTTATCCCCAGTGCTGCTGTCAAAGTACAAAATGACCAGGCACACATCAGTCTTCATATTCCACAAAAGGCAGATACAATATAATTTTATTACCTTCATTACAGTAGTTTTTGCAGTCCTCCTCATCTGAGCCATCCAAACAGTCATTTTCTCCATCACACATATATTGCAAGGATACACATTCTTTTCCATCTCGGCACAGAAAAAAGGTTCGTCCACAAACCAAAGCTTTTGTGAAAAGTATGTTTTTTGATACATCTGTGAAGATTACATCATATGCAAGAGCAACTGTCACTACAAGGTGGAATTCTAACAGTAATTGCCTAAAAGCATTTCTTGCACAAACAAAAATTAGAAAAATTTAGCATCCAGTAAAAAAAATCTGCCAGTCTGTAGAATGCCTAAAAATGAATCCTCTGAGGAACCCTAAATGTTTTCTGAAAAGTTGCTGGGCACCTCTGATTCATTGTCAATTGAAGGGAGCTTCTCTACAGCCAGAGTCATCTTTAAAACTATACAGGGGGTTGCATGCCAGTTTATGGCAGTGCGTAGCTTGTAAAATTCGAAAGATATTCCGTTTTCCATGGTAATGGAGCAACCACCCAGGATCACATGGTCCCAGGGAAGGGGTGGAGAAGGTTGGAGTATTAGCTGAGTGCTTACCTGGAGATTAATGAATATGTTATATGCAAGAGATCATCCTGTGTTGCTAATAGAACAGGGCTTGAGCTTGGGAGATTCTTATAAATCAAAGTCTGTTCCAAGTTTTAGTCAAACACACTTCACCTTGCAGAGTTCAAGCCCTATGTAGTATAACAAATCGTGTTGGCTTTAACAATCTGAACAAAATCAAGCCTCAATGTTGGGAAGCCTTCAGCAAGAATTTGATGAAATGTAAATAGTTTTACAGTGATGAGACTGCTGCGTTATATAGGGTAACTCAGTTTAGGGTTTCGTATTTTTCCATTGTGTCTAATATTTTGTCACTTTTTTGGACCTTTTCAATTTTATTCATGGTAAGATTCCCCCCCTTTCTGGAAAAGGACATTTTTGGTCAGGCCCAGGTCAGGAACGTGTAGGATCTTTGAAAGAACTTTTGTAACTTAGGAGACATGAAAGAACTTTTGTAACTTAGGAGACATTTAAAGCTAACTGCACTCTCAAAACTGAGCCTTGTTTTATAATTTCTAAAGCTGCTATGTGTTCTAACATGCTTACTATTTTTTTTTTTTTGATGAAGAGCTGGTTCATACCACAAGTATGGCAAAACCTTGTGTTTTACCATGCAGAAGTGTTGGTTCGGTTTGGTGGTGCCATTCAAAAGCACAGAGTACCTTGTGAACAAGCCCTTCCATACAACTACTTTAAAAAAAATTTCTGAGAAATAGTAGTAACTGTCTTGGAGGGGCTTAACTTTTCTAGTATTTACGCTCAGCCTTGTTAGGGACAAGACTAAGGCTAGCTTAGGTTTCCAATAAGAAAGCCTGCCCCAATCACTTCTAGTTCGTGCAGTACTACTTGCATGAATATTTTTTATATAGATGCTCCTAAACTAGAGACAACATACTCAAAACTATTATAGGCTAAACAATTCTGTTAATGTCCCTAGATCTACTGTAAACTTAAGGTTCACATTTTGAGCATTTGAAATTATCTGGCATTTTCCATGTAAGTAGGGCATTAAAAAAAAAAAAACAAAAAAAAAAAAAAACCAAGAAACGTCTCCCCATAAGCAGGTCGAAGACACTAAACTTTCTGTAGCAGAGTACCCATGCACAGGGCCAGGCCAAGGGGTGGCTTCCCTGGGTACAGAGGTTTACTGTAGGGATGGGGGTGCTTTCCTTCTGTTACAAGGCTAACAGTAGCAGTGATTGACAAATTAGTGATTTCTGGGTGTAGGATCCACTAAACTTGAACCGAGGGGGCTATGCAGTTTGGCATCTTTGCCCTGGGCGCTGAATGACCTTGTCCCAACACTCCCCATGCACCTCTGCCTGCATCAGGTAATTTAATTGGCAGAGTCTTTCCTCCATATCTCCATGAACAAAGCAGGCGTTTCATCCAGACACTCCCCAGAAAGGTCACTTAGGACAGTTTTGGTCAACATAGCTTTGTACATAGTTTTACCAGATCAAAACCTAGTGACATTTAGGGCTTGCATGAAAGGTTACTTTGTTCTGCCCTAAGCCAGTGCTAATGTGTTTGGATACCTTTGCTTGGTACCAGATTGTACCTTTAAAATTCGATCTATACATTAAGAGATGACGTACTGAGTATTTTGTTGCTTTCACTACTCACCGCTTTAAACTATGGCTTTCATTCCAGCCTGGGAATATGGTAAAACCCAAAAACTTACCAAGAAAGCAGCTATCCCGATCATCTGGGCAGAGGCAGTTCATCATCTTCATAGGGCCAGATATGCAAATTTCCTCAGACATACAGCCACCATTATCCAATTCACAAGCCGAATTACTTCCTTAAAAAAGAGTAAAGGTAAATTAAGTGAAAATTTTACAATACACAACCAGTAAAAAAAGGTAACAAAAATTGCTTGCCCTTGATAAGACTGGATGTTACGATCATAAGTTTGGTCACAGTTTCTTCATTATGCGAGGAAACCAACTTCATGGTCCTTCTATCCCAAATTTCAATTGTTGCATTGTTATAAGATAATATGTAGGGTTCAAAGGCATCCATTAATGGGTTTGTGAAGTGATCCTTCAGTTTGGACAATTTTCTTTTTAAAAGGCCAAATGAATAAAATCCTAAAAAAACCAAAAACAAACGATTAGAATCATTTAAATTGGCTAACCAATTTTTTTAATATATCAGCAGAGTAT